GTGCTCAGGCATGAAAATATGCCGCTCAAACACTATACTTTTCTGCTCACACTGAAAAAAAATTAGAGGGAACATTGTACCACACCCCTTCTCTTAGTGGCGGTGAGAGTCTGTCTGTCTGTCTCTCTCTCTCTCCCCCCCCCTCATATTTTTAAGTAGCAACGTTTTTGGCAGAGACTGTGTAAAATACTTGATTCCTACCCTGAAAAGTAGGATTTTAAAAAGCCCTTAATTAAATAAATAACAAAATTAGGAAATGTCTATAAGAGAGCTATATAAGCTAATTTATCTTGTTTGACGGAGGAATTGGAGGAAGGAATGCTGACTGTAAAGTATTTCCTGGTGATTTTCTTGTTTAGGAAAAGGCACATGGTATTTTTCAAGCACACCAATACAATCCTGTTCCTGACAATATGTATATATGTTATTCTTGGCTATTGGTGGCTGGCTAAAATGATCACCCTACATATTTCTCCCTGCAGAATAAATATATCTTATTTATTCAAGCAGATTATTTCTTTGTCTCTATTGCACATAAAATAAACATATCGTGCCTTGATTTTGTGCTTGTAGCTTGACAAATTACACATGCCCTTTATGAGATCTTAAGTTTCTCTTTAGATATGTTCACCAGTAACACCCAAAAACATTGGGAAGGGGGATTTTCTTATATCTTTTTAATAGATAAGACAATAGAAGATATCAATAATACTTTTGAACCATTACAGATATTTTATGGAGGGGATGTTAATTGATACATGTGTGAATATATTCTTAAAATGCATAATGCCATAGTGGAAGGGATTTGAAATTTAAGTCCTGCTACCTTGCTGGTTCTGAAAAACAAATAATTGAGATTTACAAACTACCTCTTCCTGAAACAAAACATTTACGATACTCAGTTGAGACAATGAAGTGGCATAATAGAAGGGATGTGAAATTTAAAGCCTGCTATCCAAACACCTAACATTACACCCAGAAACAGCAGAACTTGTGCAAGAACATTCACTGCAAGGCTACTTGTGAAAAACATTTGAGATTTACAAAATTTGCCTCTTGCTGACACAAAACATTCATGACACTCGGTTGAGACAATGAAATGGCATAATAGAAGGAATGTGAAATTTAAAGCCTGCTATCCAAACACCTAACATTACACACAAGAGAAGCAGAAATTGTGGAAGAGTGTTTGTTACAAGACTGGGTTGTGAAAAACAAATAACTGAGATTTACAAACTTTGCCTTTTCCTGACACAAAACATTTAGGATATTCAGTTGAGACAATGAGGAAATTCCATGGGCCAAAAGCAGGTGAAAGGTAAAATCAATGAGAACCTAGTACTAAATGTTGGTCATTTGCCACTGGAGGTGTGCCTAACCCATTACCTACTGGCGTTTACAATCTTGTGACATAAAGCACAGCATACAAAATAAAATGGGTTGGTGCTATTCCAAGAGATTGTGACAGGGAAACTCTCTATTAAAACTGAAATGAACTACTTTCTGCCTGAACAGTAGTTCAGTAGCTCCACTGTTGTAGCCTTAGCATTGATCCAATTGTGGTTCATCTCCACATTTGCCTGCTGTCTTCCAATTAGGTATTCTATGAAAAGACACCTTGCAAAGATGCGCCAAGAAGGAGAAGCATCCCCTAGAATCATCAAAGACCAGGATCGAGGATGGGCTTGGATGGTCTTAGTAGCTACAGTGCTGGTTCAAGGTCTAACACTGGGTTTTTCTTCATGCATTGGAGTCTTCTTCAAGGACCTGCAGCGTGATTTCCACGCTACCAATAGTGAGACATCATGGTTCCCCTCCATCATGACAGCTGTCCTCCATGCAGGTGGTGAGTATTTTGTTTTTATTGATAAACTTTCTTCTTAAATGTCATCAAGGTCCCATGAAAAGATCACAAGATCAATTGCTAACTAGCAAATAATGTTCTACCAAAGAGATCTACCAAAGGTATGTTTTCTCTTCAAGCTTCGTTATATGGTTCTACTTCTAGATACAAAAATAAATCTTCCTTCCTAATCTCCAACAGTATCTTCCTCTTCCCCCCAAAACCACTTTTTATGTGACATCTACAATATCATGAACAATGGAAAGGATTTCCTGATAGATTGTGGGTTCCATATAGCTGGCTGACTGGCTATCTATGTAACTATATTTGCCTTGTCTTTATTATTTTTATAAATAACTCAAGGTGGTGAACATACTTAATACTCTTTCCTCCTCCTATATTCTCAACAACAATCCTGTGAAGTGGATTGGACTGAGAAATTGCCTGGCTCAAAATCATACAGCTAGCTTTCATGCCTAGGATGGGCTTAGAACTTGCAGATTCTTGGTGCCATAACCACGAATCCATACTGGTTCTTTTTAATTGCTTAATTTTAATTAAAATTGATTTTAATTACTATTTTATTTGCTGCCTTTTCAAGTAAGATCAGAAGGCTGACTAATTTTAATTGCTCAATTTTTTTAATTGCTGCTTTTTCAAGTAAGGTTAGCCCAGAAAGCTGAGAATGACGAGACCATATTGAGTTAATATGTACATATTTTATCATGTAATTGAGAGACAGTTTGAGATTAGAGATTAAGGCTTCAGAAATTAAATTGGGAACTCTACTTCCCACCTAAGATACAAAACCAGCTAGGTGACTTTGGGTCACTCACCTCACTCCATCTCAGCCCTAAAAAGAAGGCACTGGCTAAACATACACATACACTCTTTCTCAGTCATATCTCTTTCTCATGTACATACTTAAAGTTGTTTTAAACAAAATATTTCAAAGCTACTCTGCTCTGAGCCTGTGAGATGATTTTTGGCCAATGGACACCACCCTTCACATGCCCTTGAGTTAAAGAGGAAAGTTAAAGAGCCAACTAAAACTATCTGAGCTTTTTTCCCCCCCTATCAGACAAATCTTTGCTACAGTCATTGACCAATTCAAAATAAGAAACAAACCAAGGGGGGGGGGAACCTTGACACAAAAATCCATTGGCAAGATCCAGATAAAACTCAGAGATTGAATCACTAAACAAATTCTTAAAGATTCAGTTGACGCATTCAACCAGCCGCATCATAAAATTGGGCCACATTGAGGGCTCATCCATACTTCCATTTTGCTGAATTCTTCTCACATATTAGAGATGGGAGAAAAATCATATCAATTTAGTCTGTGTAGTTCCCATAGCCTGCCTTTAATGTGCACTAGGAACAGCGCTATACTCTGCTATTGTGTCACCGCACATCTAGCGGGCCAGTTGAACGGAACCAAGCTTCCCTGCATTATTCCAGGGCTCTTCTAAGCATTTTAGATTGTGCTCTTGGGGACTTTTGTGTCAGGATAAAGGGGAAAACACTACTTGCATTTCTGAACATCTGAAATGAGTTCAGACTGCCTCAGCAGTTGACTAACAATGAGATGAAGGTAATGTTACAAAGAAAGTCCTCTGTGAATAGTTAGCATGATATTCTTGTGCTGTGGCAAGCAGGATATGTGGTTGAGTCTTAAGAGTAATATTTACCTAACAATAAGATACATCGTGTTTATTAGTGATAAACAGAGTTCTATGAGTGATATAAATACCTTAACAGAATGAGCAATATAATAAATGATAATACAGCAGGATATCCCCTGTACCACAAAGGCAGATCCCATCTTCCAAATTATGAAATTTATTCTCTAAGATTGCTGAGGAAAAAACATTAAGACAAATTGAGGGAAAGGCCCTACATTACCTCAAAGTGGGTTGATGTAAAACTTAACTGATAGGTTGGAAAATATTCATTTCCCTCACCATAGGACTATTGAGCAGACTATCAGTATTCCATAGACATCATTGTTCTTTAGATCTACCTTTATATTGCAAACACTGAAAAATTATGTAAAATAACCCCAGAAAAGAAAAGAAAAATATGTCAAATAAGTATGTTAATGTTTTAAAAATGAAGGGTTGCATTTTTATTGAGAGTGTACAGTTGGGGAAAAATGACCATTGTCTCAGGCAAGCAGAAAATTAGTGAGGACAGGATAGAGAAAAGAAAGAACAGGACTTTAGCTGCATCAGAATGGATTCCCTGCCCATCAGTGGGTTGGAACCCAGGGAGATGCAAATTTGCACCCCTCAGAAAAACAGTAGACTTGCTAGAATATAGATGGTTAATGGCAGTTCTTGCCTGTAGCTTGTTATTATTGTAGTGATTATTAGGGTTGATTGCACAGTCAGCCAGAGGTGTTTATGGCTGGTCACATAGTCACCCAAATATTTAGACTGGATTTGGCATTTTTATTCACCTATTGAGTTCTTCCCAAGAATCTGGGATAGGCAAATGTTCTTGTTTGATGATGTTAAAGATATCATCACAGATTATTATCTGTATGCCATCCAACTTTCAATGACTGTGGGTGGCTAACAGCCATCAAAGAAATTAATGTAAAATTAAGAAAAACATTGAAAAATAAAATGGTAGTGTTTATGAACGTTCTATTTTAGGATCTATGCCTATTAGGCTTTATTCCTATGCTTATAAATGTCTGAAAAGCTGGTTGGGCCCTGAACAGTTTAACAGTATATTTTGCACACCTGCAAGATTTCATTAGCTTCTTATTCCATTGGGTAACAGGAACACCTGGTTATTATCTCTTTTATAAGTGGGCCTGTGATAATAATATTGCGTCAGACCTTTGATCATGGGTGTTGTTATGCTGACTAAGAAAGGATTATGTTCTCTACAGAGTTGGGAAACTTAGTGAAATATTTCATTTGGTAATGATTTCTTTTGCCAATTAACCTATAATAGGCTTGCTCTTATATAATGCATGTATTATATCATTCTTAAACAATTGCTAGGACTTCTAATAGTATAATGAGAGCTGTTTCTATTGACATTGCTTAACTACCAAGAAGTACCACACAGTGTTCTTGATGAATTTTCCCCTTTAATTTATATACTCTTGATCTATAACTAATATCCAAACATTGATATTTGTGGCAGCTTAAATTACTGAATGGGGTGACTATGTACAGTAGTTCTTGACTTACAACGGTTCACTGAATGACCTTCAAAGCCATACTTGTCTACTAATTTAGCCACTTTATCAAAGAATGAAATAAGATTGGTTTGGCATTATCTGTTTATAACAAACTTATGTTGGCTACTAGTTATAACTTTATTTGTTTCTAGATATTCACAGATCTGTTTTTTGGTTATTTTTTCCAGTATCTTCCCAAGTATTGATGTTAGGCTTTATTGATGTTCACTCTGTAAACAACCTGAAAATAGGGGAAAGGAGCAGGGTATCACCTTGGGCTGAATTAAACAACCATACTACTGATTAAGTAATATGAGTAGTTAGGAAATTTGCCATGTTATACTCAAGGACACACAAGAAGCAGCGGGTTGAACGTGATTTGCCCCCAGTAAGGCCTACAGCTGAGTTGACAAGTGTATGAGAGTGACAGAATAGAAAGGACATGGAGAATGACAGAAACCTCTATACTGTATGACCATATCTCTAACTCCATCTCATGAAAAATATAATCTGGCCCAGTTTTCTTCAAGGCAAGTCTACCTGTAGCACTGTGAATGAGGAAGACATTTGAGATTTCATTTGCACATATTAAAAGTTGCAAACATTTGTTTAGGAGAGCTCATATATGTTTAAGAAGCACATATTCATGGAAGGAAACAATTCTTGTCCATTGCAAGAACTTTACAGGTACTGTAAAGGTACTGTATTACTGTCTCCAATCTGATCTAACAGGAAAACAAAAAGATTTGAATGTCTGAGGTCTTGGGCCTTTCATCTAAATTTTAAAGCTTAGAGTAGAGCTGGCTACCAGGGTGTCTGCCTCCCTGTAATAGGCAGTTATGCCCAACAAGATTTCTAAAGTAAAAATTGGTTGTCCTGAGAATGTGCCTGAGAAAATGCAGATTTAAAGCAGAGAGCAAGTCTGACGTTTCAGATGCCCAAAATTCTATCCTTTCCACAGAGTAGTAATTCAAGTGCAGCCTTGGCTGATGAAACAGAGAGAATCCAAGATAGCTGCTTAGGGAAAACAAATCAAGCTCTACTATCATACCCTCTTGCACTAGCAGCTACTAAGATGTCAGGTGGCCTTAGCTGTCATGCCCTTATGATCTCCAGGTGGCACGGTAGTTCTTTTTCAGAGACACACCTTGTTCTTTTTGGGTACAAGTAAGTAAGTAAGTAAATCTTTATTACGGTCAAAAACCAACAATACATATTAGTTTTTACAATATGTTAAAAAGTACTGACATTAAGATATAATTAAAAAGTATTGACGTTAAAAGTGGAAAATAACATACATGTTCTCAGATTGTTCGGGTCACTCCCTGGTTTACCTGGATGCAATGCTGTTAAGTATAGAAGTAAATACAATGGTCCAAAGATTGTTAGAGATATGTCCAGATAATTGATAGCAGGTGACAACTATACTTCTGTAGCCAATTTTTTTCTTATGGACATTGCAGCCGCACAGAACTTTGCCACTGCATACGTGGTAACTGGGTTAGTGTTTTGAAGGAGAAAGCCTAGATAAAAATTGTCTGCCCACCCTGGCAATCTCTCTAATAAGGGGAGAATATGTGCAGACCTACAAGCTCAGTATAGCTCGCAGTGTAATAGAACATGTGAATTATCTTCCACTTCTCCTTTACCACATATACAAACGCGTTCTGCTATAGGTGTTCTCTTATACCTGCCCTGGAGGAGTG